ACACAGGGACACTGTAGAAGCAGGATAACAGAAGACACAGAGGACACAGTAGACATAGGGACACAGTAGACACAGGGACGCAGTAGACACAGTAGACACAGTAGACACGTAGACACAGAAGACAAAGAGGACACAGCAGACACAGTAGACACAGTAGACACGGGACACAGAAGACAAAGAGGACACAGCAGACACAGTAGACACAGTACACACAGGGACACAGAAGACAAAGGGAACACAGCAGACACAGTAGACACAGGGACACAGAAGACACATAAGACACAGTAGACACAGTAGACACAATAGACACAGCAGACACAGTAGACAAGAGGAACACAGAAGACACAATAGACACATTGACACGGGGACACAGTAGACACAGTAGACACAGTAGACACAGTAGACACAGTAGACATAGTAGAGACAGCACACTTTGGGGACACAGTATACACGGGGACACAGAAGACGCAGTAGGCACAGTAGACACAGTAGACACATGGGAAACAGGAGACACAGTAGACACAGGGCACACAAGTGACACAGTAGACACGGGGACACAAACGACTCGAGGACACAGAAGATACAGTAGACACAGGAGACACAGTAGACACATGAGACACAGTAGATATAGAAGACATAGTAGACACAGGAGACACAGGAGACACAGTAGACACAGGAGACACAGTAGACACAGAAGACACAGTAGACACAGGAGAAAAAGTAGACACAGAAGACACATTAGACACAGAACTCAGTAGACACAGGAGATATAAAGAGAGAATGCTCTGAGGCAATACCGGCATGAGTCCTTCTTTTTCAGGTTAGTAGATCAATGAACTCAGGAGAGCTAACCAACTCATGCATGTCTCGGATGGGTACACTACTAGGATCTAGAGATGACGATTCAGAAACAATAAAAATGGTTCAATTGAACTAAGTATTTGCTAATCAGCCACCAGATGGAGCATTCAATATTTCTGAGACGCCATATATTGCGGTATATTTCGTCACTCTATGTACTTTTGAAATCTCAAAAAATATATTTCAAATATATATTTGTAGCCAAAGTAAAGGGGAATAAATAGCTAAACTATAAAGTCAGATTATAGTGCCACTTCTTAGCCAGATTGTATATGTAATATACATAGACTAAAACTATAGCTTTTCCTAAACCCGAATAGAAGAATCTTCGGGCCGCGAAGCGGTACGTCGGAAGCTCTCCACCGCTGAGTTAGCCCCACCCACCGTCCAGTTGAGTGACCAAGCAAGTGGGTCGATGTCAACCAAGGAGCACCTGGCCGCATTGTAGAGCTTCTCTCGTACCACCTGCAATCAAACTTTATATAACTGGGATGGTTAATTAACGACCTAAACTGACCTCTCCTCATCCCGGGGGTGGCGCTAGACACCATCTAACAGGGCTTCTACAAATGGTTTTCTGCCTCGTGAATAAGTCAATAAGTAGCTGGGACGAAACGGTTGGCCGGAAGCAGTTTCCTTAAAAGCTGTATGTTAGAATAAAAAGCATATTCTGCCACAACCCACCTAGGCCTCATGTCCATTGCGGCAACTGGTCCTCATGATCCCAACCTGTTGCTGTCGTTACTTTCAACTGTAATTGGGTAGGTACTATAAAGCTTTCTAACACAGAGAAAGACCATGGATGACCTTTGCCTCCACACGCAGGTCCACTGCATGGTGGAGCTGTATCCTACGTAACACCCATTGGTCAGCAGGCCACTACAGACATGTCTATTACAGCCCCGGGGGAATACAGTCCTACTAAACAGCCCAAGTGAACAGCCCCTCTGAACAACCCTCTGAACAACCCTCTGAACAACCCTCTGAACAACCCTCTGAATAGCCCTCTGAACAACCCTCTGAACTAAAGTCATACTGGGGGGTGTTTGTGTTTGTGTGTGGGAGTGTGTGTGTATATGTGTATGTGTGTGCGCGTGCGAATGTGGTTTAAAATAGCAGATACCAACGGATGCAGACCGGACCTGTCATGGGTCGACTGTCACACTGACCGCCCGTCATGAGACGATTATGAGGCCACAGTGTCATCAACTACTGGCAGTGATGTGCATTACGACGTCACCTGGGCGATCCCTAACAATCTCCCTATTTGAAGTTTAAAAATTGATTATCACAAAAACGCAATTTCTCAACCTCTTTAGTCAGAACTCCATTTTGTAGAAGTGACCCGCAATCCCATTTTACGACAGCTAAGTTACCCGGTATCCCATTTTACGACAGCTAAGTTACCTGCGATCCCATTTTACGACAGCTAAGTTACCTGCAATCCCATTTTACGACAGATAAGTTACCTGCAATCCCATTTTACGACAGCTAAGTTACCTGCAATCCCATTTTACGACAGCTAAGTTACCTGCAATCCCATTTTACGACAGCTAAGTTACCTGCGATCCCATTTTACGACAGCTAAGTTACCCGCTATCCCATTTTACGACAACTAAGTTACCTGCGATCCCATTTTATGACAGCTAAGTTACCTGCGATCCCATTTTACGACAGCTAAGTTACCTGCGATCCCATTTTACGACAGCTAAGTTACCCGCTATCCCATTTTATGACAGCTGAGTTACCCGCTATCCCATTTTACGACAGCTAAGTTACCTGCGATCCCATTTTACGACAGCTAAGGTACCCACAAAACCCAATAAAATATTCTAAAGAAATCTAAAATGTTAGAGGACATATAAACACTATAAGGTAATCGTCGATTGAGTATATGAACATGAGGCCCAGGATACTGGTCCATTTGACCATCCAACCATGCGAGACGGCCTTGGATTCTGGTCAATCTAACCATCCAACCATGCGAGACGGCCTGGGTTACTGGTCCATCTGACCATCCAACCATGAGGGACGGCCTTGTATTCTGGTCAATCTAACCATCCAACCATGCGAGACGGCCTGGGTTACTGGTCCATTTGACCATCCAACCATGAGAGACGGCCTTGGATTCTGGTCAATCTAACCATCCAACCATGCGAGACGGCCTGGTAGTGTCGGATAGTACAGATTGTAAACAGCCAACTAGTTTCATGTACCTTGGAGACGACATGTGGTCTGTACTATTAGAGATGACGCCATTATGTCCTTGTTATTTGATCTGTGACTAAAGGGACGACTGTGATGACTCTTTTTATGTACTATTGTGATGACTCTTGGTATGTACTATTGTAGTGACTCTTGGTATGTACTATTGTAGTGACTCTTGGTATGTACTATTGTAGTGACTCTTGGTATGTACTATTGTAGTGACTCTTGGTATGTACTATTGTAGTGACTCTTGGTATGTACTATTGTAGTGACTCTTGGTATGTACTATTGTAGTGACTCTTGGTATGTACTATTGTAGTGACTCTTGGTATGTACTATTGTAGTGACTCTTGGTATGTACTATTGTAGTGACTCTTGGTATGTACTATTGTAGTGACTCTTGGTATGTACTATTGTAGTGACTCTTGGTATGTACTATTGTAGTGACTCTTGGTATGTAATATTGGGATGACTCTTGGTATGTACTATTGTGATTACAGTTGGTATGTACTATTGTGATGACTCTTGGTATTTACTATTGTGATGACTTTTGGTATGTACTATTGTAGTGACTCTTGGTATGTTCTATTGTGATGACCATTGGTATGTACTATTGTAATGACTCTTGGTATGTACTATGATAATGATTTGTGATCTGTACTATGTAGGGATACCATAAATCTTCATATGAAAATAGGTCACTAAAAATGTTCATCAAATCCGGTTACCATCCCGTAGCTGGCTCTTAGAGCTACGGCCAATGTCAAATCATTAGATTACGCCAATGTTAAGTCATAGGACCACACCAATGTTAAATCATGTGACTACGCCAATGTTAAGTCATAGGAAAACGCCGTGGGTTTCAGACTAAAAATGGTTGTGAAACCATGACCTAAGCTATAGTGGAATCCATGAAAGGTTATGAAACCATGACCTAAGCTGTATTAGATGACCTCTTGGCACGTACCGTGAGGGAAAGAAAAAAATATATATAGTGTTGTAGTTAAGTGCTTGTGAAGTGATCTGTTAATGTTAGACTTGCGTCATTAGAACGTCAATGGTCAGGCTACCGCAGTACAACTTTGTTTATGATGTCAGTCACGGATAATGTTGATGTATAGTTAAAGGTTGGCAGTGTACAGTGTGGCCATACCCCATAATTTTGGCTGGGTCACTCCCTCGGCTCAAAGAGGACAATCTCATCACATTGGCTAGGTCAGTGTTCGGCACAAGAGGCTTAGAGTGGACAACCCCACAATTTTGGCTAGGTCAGTCCCAGGGCTCAAAGTGGCCAAACTGATAATTTTGTCTGGGTCCGTCTCCCGGCTCAAAGAGGACAACCCCGTAATATTGGCTGGGTCAGTCCCCCGGCTCAAAGAGGACAACCCTATAACATTGGCTAAGTCAGTGTCCGGCACAAGAGGAGACCGAATGTCTAAGCACATATTTTGAAATCATGGCCATCCTATTCTTAGAAAGGAAATGCCCCTGCAAAAACTCAAGTCACAAAATGAGGGCAACGATTACGTCATATAGAAAAATTAAATTAATATCCGACTTCTGTGCCACTATTAAAATTTTAATCTGACCCATTTTATGAATCTAATGAGTTTTGTTCGTAAAGTATACACGACACATAAGCTTGTTACAAAACTGAAGTTTATTAATTCTCTCACGCCTTCGTTTCAAATTGCATAGATTCAAACACACTTTGAAATACCTACTGTTTACCACTTTCATTCATACGATCCTTAAAAACACCAAAAAATTAATGCTTTCAAATTCGACCGATCCATTTGTTTTCTTCCATCTAGGGTAGCTCTTACGTCATGTTCATCAACGCCGGCCCGATTAAATTCGCGGCGTAAGACAGCAGCAGTTTCGGGAACTGGGATGCGATTCCTACCAGGGACGAAAAACCGCACTGACCGCCACAAATGAGGACAGAATTGAGGAACAGACCCTGGCAGCCCGTGGCGAGGAACACATCCGTCACATTCTCACCCCGGCACTTGAGGAACTGGTCTTTGGCCGGCGCCAGGCATTTGTCAGCGCACCCGCAGACCAGATCACAGGACGAGGAGCAGAGTTTCGATCCTATTGTGCAGACTTTCTTCAGGAACTCGGGGAACGTTGCCACCTCGCAGACGCTGTTGACGTACTGGCAATTGGCGTAGCATCCATCGGTGCAAGGGGAAGCGATGACCGACTGGGCGACAAGGAAAACAGCTGATAGACGGAGGATGGCTGGAAAACAGAACATTCATGAAATGTAGTAACACAATTTTTCGTCAGATGTGCAGCATGGGGAATGCAATTCCTAGACTACACATCATCATGGGGATTGCAATCTCTATACTGCACATCATCATGGGGATTGCAATCAATAGACTACACATGAACATAGGGATTGCAAACCCTAGATTACACACCATTATGGGGATTGCAACCCCTAGATTACACACGAACACGGGGATTGCAACCCCTAAATTACACAACAACATTGGGATTGAAACCACTAGATTACACACCAAGATGTGGATTGTAATCCCTAGCTTACAATCATTATTGGGATTGCAACCCCTAGCTTACACATCATTACGGGGATTGCAGCCCCTCGCTTGCAAACCAACATGGGGATTGCAACCCCTAGATTACACACCAACATGGGGATTGCAACCTCCAGATTACAAACCAACATGGGGATTGCAAGCCCTTTATTACACATAAACAAGGGCATTGCAACACATAGATTACACATATGTAAATATATAACTTTGTTGTGCTACTAGAGGACTAATATAACAGAGTCAGTGTTTACTCGAATGGGTCATTTGGCATAATGTGTGATGTGGGTTATTAGAAAGTGGGTTGTAAGAATGTGGGATGTTAGGATGTTGGGTTTTTAGGATGTGGGTTGTTAGGATGTGGGTTGCTAGGAAGTGGGTTGTTGGGATGTGGTTTGTTAGGAAGTGGGTTGTTTGGAAGTGGGTTGTTAGGATGTGGGTTGTAAGAATGTGGGATGTTAGGATGTGGGTTTTTAGGATGTGGGTTGTTAGGATGTGGGTTGCTAGGAAGTGGGTTGTTGGGATGTGGTTTGTTAGGAAGTGGGTTGTTTGGAAGTGGGTTGTTAAGGTGTGGGTTGTTAGGAAGTAGTTTGTTGGGATGTGGGTTGTTAGGAAGTGGGTTGTTAGGAAGTAGGTTGTTGGGATGTGGGTTGTTAGGAAGTGGGTTGTTTGGAAGTGGGTTGTTAAGGTGTGGGTTGTTAGGATGTGGGTTGTTAGGATGTGGGTTGTTAGGATGTGGGTTGTTATGAAGTGGGTTGTTAGGATGTGGGTTGTTAGGGTGTGGGTTGTTAGGGTGTGGGTTGTTAGGAAGTGGGTAGTTGGGATGTGGGTTGTTAGGAGGTGGGTTGCTAGGAAGTGGGTTGTTAGGATGTGGGTTGTTAGGGTGTGGGTTGTTAGGGTGTGGGTTGTTAGGAAGTGGGTAGTTGGGATGTGGGTTGTTAGGAGGTGGGTTGCTAGGAAGTGGGTTGTTAGGGTGTGGGTTGTTAGGATGTGGGTTGTTAGGATTTGGGTTGTTAGGATGTGGGTTGTTAGGATGTGGGTTGTTAGGAAGTAGGTTGTTGGGATGTGGGTTGTTAGGAAGTGGGTTGTTAGGATGTGGGTTGTTAGGAAGTAGGTTGTTGGGATGTGGGTTGTTAGGAAGTGAGTTGTTTGGAAGTGGGTTGTTAGGGTGTGGGTTGTTAGGATGTGGGTTGTTAGGAAGTGGGTTGTTAGGAAGTGGGTTGTTAGGAAGTGGGTTGTTAGGATGTGGGTTGTTAGGGTGTGGGTTGTTAGTGTGTGGGTTGTTAGGAAGTGGGTAGTTGGGATGTGGGTTGTTAGGAGGTGGGTTGCTAGGAAGTGGGTTGTTAGGGTGTGGTTGTTAGGATGTGGGTTGTTAGGAAGTGGGTTGTTAGGATGTGGGTTGTTAGGAAGTAGGTTGTTGGGATGTGGGTTGTTAGGAAGTGAGTTGTTTGGAAGTGGGTTGTTAAGGTGTGGGTTGTTAGGATGTGGGTTGTTAGGATGTGGGTTGTTAGGAAGTGGGTTGTTAGGAAGTGGGTTGTTAGGATGTGGGTTGTTAGGGTGTGGGTTGTTAGGGTGTGGGTTGTTAGGAAGTGGGTAGTTGGGATGTGGGTTGTTAGGAGGTGGGTTGCTAGGAAGTGGGTTGTTAGGGTGTGGTGGAGGTGGGTTGTTAGGTTGTGGTTTGTTAGGAAGTGGGTTGTTAGGAAGTGGGTTGTTAGGAAGTGGGTTGTTAGGATGTGGTTTGTTAGGATGTGGGTTGTTAGGAAGTGGGTTGTTAGGATGTGGGTTGTTAGGAAGTGGGTTGTTAGGAATTGAGTTGTTAGAATGGGGGTTGTTAGGATGTGGGTTGTTAGGAAGTGGGTTGTTAAGGTTTGGGTTATTAGGATGGGGGTTGTTACGGTGTGGGTTATTAGGAAGTGGTTTGTTATGGTGTGGCTTGTTAGGAAGTGGTTTGTTAAGAAGTGGGTTGGTTGCTAGGATGTGGGTTGTTAGTATGTGGGTTCTTAGGGTGTGGGTTGTTAGGAAGTGGGTTTTTAGGATAAGGTTTGTTAGGAAGTGGGTTGGTTGCTAGGATGTGGGTTGTTAGGAAGTGGGTTTTTAGGATGTGGGTTGCTAGGAAGTGGGTATTTAGGAAGTGGTTTGTTAGGATGATAGAGATTTTTAATTTTAAAGATGACCGCCGTCACTAAGGAAGACGAGGTCAGTGGCTCTATGCGTCAATTATAGTAGATATTCTCTTAAACTATAACACAGGTGAAGATAAAGGTTTTTTTTTTTTTTTTTTAAATATATTTTAACTAAATCATTTTAAAGCAGTTCTCCGTCTCTAGCTATTGCCGTCTGAGATTAAGAGAAATTGAAATCAACAAATGTGGTGGTATTTTTATCGACCAATTTGATCATAAAGAGTGCAGTTTTTAAAAGGCAACTCCTAAGAAAGTTGTAGAAATATTAAAATTTTTGAAGACTTAACGATTAAACTTTGGTCTGTAACAACGCTTTGAAATTTAAAGACTAACCTATATGGATTTAAATTTAAAATTAAAAAATACTTTCTTAAACATTACCATATGATATTTTACAATACCTTAATCTAATTAATCTGAACAACATCTTGTAAGTAAACATTCATTTAATGACCATCAACATAAATTGCCATTTTCAGATTGAAAACTCCTATGAAGATGTACCAATACGACTGTACTATTGAATGATGTACTTTCATTACACTATTTCCTTTCTGTTACATTGAATCACACTGATTTCAAATGTCACTATTAGTACCACATGTCATTCGACATGACTCTCTAGCATCATAAGAGAAGGTAGCATCGAGTACACGAAACCACTTACCGTTCATCTTTGGTTTTAGTTCTGAGATGTGGTTTGGAGTGGCTCGCCTAGGTCAGTAGTTTGATGATCAGTGAAGTCAGAGTCGGGCCCCAGCAGTTATATATGAACCGAGCACCGTTGGATGCCAACGACATACGATATTTGATAGCACACGTGGTCGTCAAGATGGGTGAGTCTACTTAATTCAGTTGATTTTAGTTCATACTTATACTTGGTAATCACTCTCAGGTGGGCGAATATTTTACAGGTGTGTGGTTACCCATGATTTGGTTCTTAACTCTATTCTGTCGATGTCATTGGCTGAACGTTACAACGGGTTTCACGAGCCTGTTCACTTATTCATTGAAGTAACTGATTGAACATTACCCCGTAGCTCACTAGGTCATAGAAGTAACTGACTAACATTACCCCGGAGCTCAATATTGAACAAACATTTTAGCTATTCGTTTATTCCATTGCTTGCTGGCTTGCTGACATGTTGACATGCTGACTTAATTGTCTGTCTTGTGGGTTGTGTGTATGTAATCTGCTGGTCTATGTTTCATTATACCCCCCCCATATCATCTTAAACTGGTGATTTCTCATCTGACGGTTTGTCTGTGTTGATAAGTCTGTAACATTCAACATTTCATCAACACTAGGTCAATCTTTCAATGGACTTTTGACATCTCTAAGATTTAGGATTTATTCATTGCAGATGTGTTGGGTTGTTAATTAACTTGGACGTCAATGCTCTTGTTACTTGTGACATATTAAGTATTGCAACTAGTGAAATATGAATTATTGTAAGCAGTGAAACATTAACTATTGTAACTAGTGAATTATTAAATATAGTAACTAGTGAAACATTAACTATTGCAACCAGTAAAACATTAAGTATTGTGATTAGTTAAGTATTAAGTATTGTAATTAGTGAAACTATGTTTGAAAAATACTATTTAAATGGGAAGAACTTCTTTGTGCTCCATAAATAAATGGTTTTTACTATTTTTAAGTGTGTTCTACGTGATTTGTAAATGTGTGGGTGGAGTGCGCTGTCTTGTGATACAATAGTGAAAAACATCACAGCAAAGCACAGCACAGCAAAGCACAGCACAGCAAAGCACAGCACAGCAAAGCATAGCACAGCAAAGCACAGCAAAGCACAGCAAAGCACAGCAAAGCACAGCAAAGCACAGCAAAGCACAGCACAGCACAGCAAAGCACAGCACAGCAAAGCACAGCACAGCAAAGCACAGCACAGCACAAAACGAAGGCGGATTATTTGTAAGGTTGTTTCACACGTGTCACACCCCGACACAACCACAACCCCACAAACTGAAAATCACAACAATTATATGATGCGTAGTTACCTTTGTTTATCACGACGCCATTGTGATGCAGAGCCAAGTGGACACTGATGTAGGGCTCATTGGAGGCTGATGTTGGGCCCAGTGGATGCTTATGTTGGGCCCAGTGGATGCTGATGTTTGGCCCAGTGGATGCTGATGTTGGGCGCAGTGGATGCTTATGTTGGGCCCAGTGGATGCTGATGTTGGGCCCAGTGGATGCTGATGTTGGGCCCAGTGGATGCTGATGTTGGGCCCAGTGGATGCTTATGTTGGGCCCAGTGGATGCTGATGTTGGGCCCAGTGGATGCTTATGTTGTGGTGAGTTGTTTGTGTTGAGGGGTGGGTGTTGAGTGGTGAGTGCTGAGTGGTGGGTTTTGAGTGGTGCGTGTTGAGTGGTGAGTTTTGAGTGGATGCTGATGTTGGGCCTAGTGGATGCTTATGTTGGGCCCAGTGGATGCTTATGTTGGGCCCAGTGGATTTTTATGTTGGGACCAGTGAATGCTTATGTTGGGCCCAGTGGATGCTGATGTTGGGCCCAGTGGATGCTGATGTTGGGCCCAGTGGATGCTTATGTTGGGCCCAGTGGATGCTGATGTAGGGCCCAGTGGATGCTTATGTTGGGCCCAGTGGATGCTTCCGTTGGGCTACGTGGATGCTGATGTTGAACCCAGTGGATGCTATTGTTGGATCAATAGGATGTTGATGAAGTGCCCAGTTGATGCTGATGTTGTTCAATAGGATTTGATGATGTGCCCATTGGATGCTGATGTTGGGCCCAGTGGAAGCTAATGTTTTGGGTCAATAGGATGTTGATGATGTGCCTTGTGGATGCTGATTTTGGGCCCGGAGGATGCTGATGTTTGGCCCAGTGGATGCTAATGTTTGTTCAATATGATGTTGATGATGTGCCCAGTAAATGCTAATGTTGTGCCCATTGGAAGCTTATGTGGGGCCCAGTGGATGCTGATGTTGGATCAAGAGGATGTTGATGATGTGCCCATTGGATGCTGATGTTGGGCCCAGTGGATGCTAATGTTGGGTCAGTAGGATGTTGATGATGTGCCCATTGGATTCTGTTGTTGGGCCCAGTGGATGCTTATGGTGGGCCCAGTTGATGCTAATGTTGGGTCAATAGGATGTTGATGATGTGCCCATTGGATGCTGATGTTGGGCCCAGTGGATGCTAATGTTGGGTCAATAGGATGTTGATGATGTGCCCATTGGATGCTGATGTTGGGCCAGTGGATGCTAATGTTGGGTCAATAGGATGTTGATGATGTGCCCATTGGATGCTAATGTTGGGCCCAGTGTAAAGTAACGTTGGGTCAATAGGATGTTGATGATGTGCCCATTGGATGCTAATGTTGGGTCAATAGGATGTTGATGCAGTGGCCAGTTGATGCTGATGTTGGGCCTAGTGGATGCTAATGTTGGGTCAATAGGATGTTGATGCAGTGCCCAGTTGATGCTGATGTTGGGCCCAGTGGATGCTAATGTTGGGTCAATAGGATGTTGATGATGTGCCCATTGGATGCTAATGTTGGGTCAATAGGATGTTGATGCAGTGGCCAGTTGATGCTGATGTTGGGCCTAGTGGATGCTAATGTTGGGTCAATAGGATGTTGATGCAGTGCCCAGTTGATGCTGATGTTGGATCCAGTGGATGCTAATTTTGGGTCAATAGGATGCTAATGGTAAACCCAGTGTATGCTGATTTTGGGCCTAGTGGATGCTAATGGTGGGTCATTAGGTCGCTGACGGTGTGCCCAGTGGATGCTGATGGTGTGCCCATTGGATGCTTATTGTGTGCCCATTGGGTGCTGATCGTGTGCCCATTGGATGATGATGGTATGCCCATTGGATGCTGATGGTGTGCCCATTGGATGCTGACGGTGTGCCCATTGGATGCTGACGGTGTGCCCATTGGATGCTGATGGTGTGCCAATTGGATGCTGATGGTGTGCCTATTGGATGCTGATGGTGTGCTCATTGGATGCTGATGGTGTGCTTATTGGATGCCGTGTTACAAATCAATCTATTACCACTGAATAGCTTGCAACTCTACCCACGTCGGTAACACTATTGGTTCACCGTTTTGACGATCTCTTGATCTCGTTTCATTTCATATACATCATAAGTATGTGTGTGTCATATGACTGGAGTGATCCACATGATGAAAGACTACAAAGCAATCATTGATATTCAACGAAATTTCTATCTTATACTTGAACCAATAAAGACTTTTCTTTTTACATTTAGATATTATCATTTAGATCAGGGGTCTCAAACTCGTGACCTGCGGGCCATTTGCGGCCCGCGGGCCATAAGACTATATTTTGCGACAGCTACTACAATCAAAGTTTAGTGGTAATGCAGCGCGAGCGTTTTCCCCATTCTCATATCTATAATGTGACCCTCCGCGACAGTTTTAGTCGAATCTCACAGACAAGTCTAATTGTGAGTTTTATTATGTTTGTATAGATTTTTATGCTGTTTATAATGGTAAAACCCGTTTTAAAATCGACTAAAAGTTTTTATTTAATAGCATTTTATGAGACAAAACTTGGCAAGAATACGGTTTTGAGAAAAATGTAAAAAGTCAGTTAATGGGTAATACACAACCATAACTGTGTAAATCGCAGCAACCTGACACAGTATCAAAGAAACCCTATTGAAATGACCACTAGTGTGTATCAGTGGAAAATTCCGAGCCTTCCTGCTCGGTGACTTTCAAATAGGGTTAGTCAAAAAGGCCATTTCTACGATTAAAATCAAAATTAATTCTCTCTTCAATGGCATATTGCTTCCCATCAATAATTCATTAATATGGCCTGCTCCTGCCTACTGCTTGACACGTTTTAGCATTTAAAGCCTTCATGGAGAAGGATGGGTGGTTATTCCTGTATTAAGTGATCTCAAATGGCTCATGGACTTGATTTGTTTGTTGACATTACACAGGAGCTGAATTTACTCGACAAAAAGTTACAATCCCATGGGTAGCTTGTCAGTTTTGCCCATGACAATGTCAGGGCATTCTGCACAAAACTTAAGTTATGGATCATAGAGAAACATCTGCCATTTCCCAACATGCTTATTACTCATGGACTCAGGCACACCATTCAATAGTATGTGTACTGATGCCTTTGCAAAGCTACTGGAATATTTCTATCACATGTTTGCAGAATTCAAAACCCATAGAGCCACTTTTCCCATTTTTGCTGACCATTTCTCCTTCAATGTGGAAGATGAACACCTCCAACTTCCCGGAGATTTCCAGGTTGTTCAAGCGAATTATGTGCCTTTTTGGCGGTAGCTATCTGTGAGAAAAGCTATTTTCCACTATGAACTTTTAACAAGTCAAGGTTAAGGGCCAAACTAACTAATGAGCATCTTCAAGCTATACTGAGGGTCTCAATTGCTTCCTCACTCAAGTCAAATGGTTCTCAGCTGTTTAAGAAGAAGCGCTGCCCGGTCTGGCAACGAGGAGTAGGAAGAAGAAAGCGAAGCCTAGTTTTAGAGAACTATTATTGTTTTTATGTGTTCTAAATAAAGATTGAGAAGATAGTAACAGTTCCACTTTATTGAATTTGTAATCACTATTTCATGGAATACTTGATGCGGCCAGTCTCACTCAGACTCTACCTCCTGCGGCCCCCGGATAATTTGAGTTTGAGACCCCTGATTTAGATCTATTCAAATCAGAACTCATCCCTCCTCCATCTCCCGCTTAGACAGCGACGAGGCCATGACAGGCAGTTCCGTCGCATAACAACAAGAACACAGTACAGGAACTGCTCATTCCTGCCAAAGACAATGAGGGTCTGGAACAAGCTTCCAAAGGGAACAGTTGAGGCGACGACACTTTAAACATTTGCGTCTATTGCCTCGGGCCTTCCAAACCCCAGTTC